AGATCGTGGAGCAGGCCAGGTGAACCAACTCAAACAACATCAAAAGCTGATATTCATCAAAAGAAGGTTTTGTTATCAGTTTGGTGGGATTACAAAGGAATTGTCTACTTTGAACTCTTACCACCCAACCGAACGATCAATTCTGATGTCTACATTGAACAACTAACGAAATTAAACAATGCAGTTGAAGAAAAGCGGCCCGAATTGACAAATCGAAAAGGTGTTGTATTCCATCATGACAATGCAAGGCCACACACATCTTTGGTCACTCGGCAAAAATTAATGGAGCTTGGTTGGGATGTTTTGCCACATCCACCATATAGTCCTGACCTTGCACCATCTGATTACTTTTTGTTTCGATCTTTACAAAACTCCTTGAATGGTAAAAATTTCAATAATGATGATGATGTCAAATCGTACCTGATTCAGTTTTTTGCTAATAAAAACCAGAAGTTTTTTGAACGTGGGATTATGATGCTGCCTGAAAGATGGTAAAAGGTCATTGATCAAAATGGGCAATACATTACAGAATAAAGTTATTTAGTTCCATGAAAAAATTGTCTTTGATTTTCTTTAAAAAATCCGCAAGTACTTAGTTGCCGACCCAATAAATAGATTGCTTCCCAGGCTCTGCTTGTCCTACCTGCCTGAGCGTACACACAGTGAGCTATTGTAGTCATGTTATTCAAGAAAAAGAAAAATAAACTGGTGGAAGGTGGGGGAGATCATCCTACTCCAAAAATGACTACACTGGAGGAAAAACTAAATGACTTTAGTGGCCTCACCCTGTCTGGATACTTGCTTCAGGGAGAAAAGTACGTTCGCTTTGTGGCTTGAAAAGTGTTAGCGTGTATTTGTGCTGGGGGAATAGTGTGTATTGCTGCGGAGTGCAGGCATCGACCCTGCACTTAAGAACAGAAGATACGCCCTCGGGTGCCAGTGGGAAATGAACCATTAAATGTTCGATGTGTGCACTGGAGCTGAAGCATGCAGGCAAAACCTTCCCAGCCAAGTGCTTTTAAAACCGTGAAAAGTGAGAAAGCACCGTGGGACCTTCAGAAATAAATTCGGTTTGGAGTCTGTGGTCCTGTAAGAAGAAGCTTTAAAACCCACCCATTGGGAGTGTAAAATGATACAGCCACTCTGGAACATCCATCAGCAGTCCCTCGAAAGGTTAAATAGAGTTAGCATGTCACTCAGAAAACTCGTTCCTAGGTGTACATATATGTAGCCAAGAGAATGAAAAACATATATTCTCAAAAAAAGCAAAAATGGACCTCACTGTTTATAGCAGCATTATTCGAGGTACCAAATAGTGGAAAGAGCCCACGTGTTCATCAGCTGGTGAACGGACAGGCACAGTGTGGTATGTCCATACAGCGGACTGTTCACGTAGCCAGCAAAAAGAATGAGGTGCTGATGCGTGCTGCAATAAGGAGAGACCTCGAAACCATTGTGGCGAGTGAAAGGAGCCAGACACACAAGGCCGCCTGTGATCTCATTGATGTGACATGTCCAGAATAAGCAAATCCATGTGACAGGAAGCAGATTCGTGGTTGCCAGGGGCTCGAGGGTAGGAGGGGAGTGGGGTGACTGTTGAGGGGCCCTGGGACTTTTTTTTTTGAGGTGATGAAATTGTCCTGGAATTAGTTAGTGGTGATGGTTGAACAACCTTGTAACTATACTGAAAAGAAAACACAATGCTGAATTATATACTTTAAAAGGATGGATTTTATGGAACGTTGGTTATATTTTTAAATAATAGGACAGACAACACCAGTGTTAATTTATAGACGGATCCCTTGCCTTTTTAAAAAATAATAATAATAATTTGTACCTCAAAAAGTTTCCTTCAGTGACTATGAGGCTTTTACTTGGCCTGGAAAATAGGGTGCTGGTATAGCAAGATGTTGGTAGACAGCGGCTGAATTCTGACATTGAGAAAGGACTCTGGGTGGGGCGAGGACGGAGTGGGCTGGTTGTGAAGAAAACAGGGGACATCTGACTCAGTTCGTGCTCCGCGAGTGGTCGCTTGTTTCTGCTGCCGCTTAGAGATCGCGCATGTGTTGTGTGTGCTTTCTGGCCATTCTGTGTGTGGATGTTTTTGCTGAGAAATTTAATCATGCATTTGAGGTCCTGTTCCATGGTTCACCTTATTGGCAAACGTTTTTCTCGGATGTTCTGAAAATGGAATGACTAGAAACACACCCAAAATAAATCCAGGCTCCTGGGGTTCGTTTTCCTCCTTCCGCTATTTTTGGACGCCTCTCAGTGGCATCGCCAGCCCAGCTGTCCTTGGGTGCTGGTCACCCTGGCTTGTCCCTCAGCTGCCCTGCTTCCTTCTCCATCGACACATTTCCAACACCTTTGAAGGAGGCAGACACGCCTGCAGCATCCAGACAGAATTCTCGAGGTCTGATGAGGACTGACAAAGTGCATACCCCGTCCCGTACCTTGTACTTTAGAACTGGCACCCCCTCTGTCAGAAAGGGCTTTCCACCCGTCCCTCTTCTGTCACCTCGCCCCGGATCTCCTCCTCCGCTCTGGAAACGTGCGGTTTCACGTCACGTTTGGAATCGCTGGCAGCTGACGAGCGTGTAACGGAATCAGGGTGTCCCGTGAATACGCGCCACGGTGTCAGCGTGGCTTTTGTGTGCAGCCCTGTTCCAAGAGGACGGGTGACACAGACGCATCACCCGGAGGGGCTTCCTCGTCATGGGCTCCGGGTCCCCCAGGACTGAGGAGAGGCCCTGAGGTGACTGCTCCCTCCCGGCGCTCCTGTCTTGCTATCTGTTTAGTAGAGCCCACATGGTGGTGATTGCCACCTCCTGAGAAGAACAGAAGTCACTGTAGTCGCCCGTATTTCTTCCCCCATGTGTGTCGGGCCTCTTTTCAGAACCATTGAAATGTAGACCGAAAGGTACCTGAGAAATAACCAGGTCCTCCCATCCCCTTCTCTTCACAGACGAGAACTCGGGTCCCAGAGCCAAAGGCACGTGTAGGGCGAAGCTGGCACCTGCCAGCTCTGATTCACAGTATCCTTTCCTTCCTTCCCGAATGCCCGCCTTTCCTAGTTTGAGCCTGGAAGCTGGGATCCAGAGGCCACGGAGAGAAAGGGACCAGAAAGGGTTAAGACTATTTTTAAGCAGCGTTTTGAAACAGAAGGTTGCCTTTGGCACTGACTGCATAAGGACTTTCGCTCTAGTTCCCCAAGTTCTCACGGCCCTCTGTGCGACTTTCAGTGGAGGCCCAAACCTAGACCTTCCCTTCCAGTCTCTCCACCCGGTCAGACTCCCTGCTCCCCGACTGACTGTAGTTACTCTCCACTGGTGACGAGGACAAAGGCTGCTCGAATGGGCTCACACTGGTTTGCGAATAGTGGGTGCCGCTTGTGGGTTGGGGGTGAGATTGCGTTTTACAAGTGGCCCAGGTCTATAAGGGCCCTTGAACGTGTCCTGCTTCTGGCAGCATAATATAAGGAGTGATGCAAATACCAAAGCCCGAGGCATCCATCCCCTTCGCAGAGCCAGCCCCTGCAGTGTCTCCATTTTTTTCACAGTGTCAAAAATTCTCTAAAGCCCCCCAAGCTTTGTATTGTCCTCTCCTCCCTCGCCTGCCCCCCTCCACCTCCACTGGCTTCTATGACAGCAGCCACTGGGCACAGGTGAGAAGGGGTTGGGGCGGGGGTAGCCACAGCTGCGGCCATTTGTAGGGACCGCTTCTAAGTTTGGGAACAGCCTCTGGAGGGGAGGGAGCGGTGCCAGGCCTTCTTGGCACAAAGAACGTGGCCTCCCCAGAGCCAACGTGGCGTCTCCCGGAGCTGAGCTCTGCACCAGCATGTCATGTCCGGGCTCCGGCGTGTCCTCGGGCCTCTGGTGTATCCATGGGCCTTAGTGTCTGCCTGTGGCCTTCCCCGGGGAGTGTGCCAGGCCCCCTCTCTGGCCGCCCGCTAACAGGGAGCTTTGGGTTTGGACAGGATGCAGTTCCCAAGCCATTTCCATTTGTCATCGGATGGCAGTGTCCCACCAGAACCAGTCGCTCGCTGGGAAGTGGCTGTCAGGGACACCTCAGAACGGAGTCTGAGACCCGGAGGCCCCGCCAGGAATGGGCCTCGGAGAGGCGGCTCCGCGGTTATGGGCCTGCAGCCCCTCCTCAAGACATCTGCTCCGGGGAGCTCTGTTCTTTCAAGAGTCCCGGCGTCAGCAGTAGCTCTTGGACACATTTTGGGGCGTGAATTTACTGAACTTGCACTCGGCATGAGAGTGGATTTTCCTGGGCCCAGGATGTCACCCTGAAACTCGGGAGCTTCACATCTGGGGCGTTTTCAGAGTCTCGGTGAGCCTGTGGGTCACCGGGATCTCGCCACGATGCATATTCTATACAGTAAGTCCAGGGCAGCACCTGGGAGTCTGTATTTCTAGTAAGTTCCAAGGTGAGGCCGGTGCTCCTGGCTCGCAGACACGGAGCAGCCGGGATCTAGAGCTGTGCTGTCGACCGCATTACACACTGGCCACTGTCACTGCGTGAACTTAAAGCTAAATTAATTCAAATAAAATAATTCCATTTCTCGGCGGCACTGACCACAGCTCAAACGCTCAGTACCCCATGTCGCGGCCAGGTAGGGCTGCCCAGATGATAACATTCCCGTTGTCCCAGAAAGTTCCATGGGAGAATGCTCATCTTTCCTGACCCCTGTTGCATCCCCCATGCACTCACCCCTGTATTCAATGAGCATCTCCTAGGCGGTGAGTCCCGGGGCTGGGCATTCAGGAGTGGGTCCAGCGAGCAGACAAGGGGCACGCACGCTCACTGGAGTGTGACACCTGCCGTGCCGCTGTGTGCGGTGGAGTTGGTGACGGGGAACTTTGCCCTGGTTGGGGCGGGGGGTGGGGGGAGGAGAAAGTCTCCCGCTGGCATTTGATGCATATTCTCAGCTGGGAGGGGACACAGAACGGGGCACCTGGGAGGCCGGCTGTGACCGTACGCTTTCACCGTTGCAGGGCGATCATCGTCAGAAACGGAGAAATCATCCCCATGTCTTCGGAATTCACCCCCGAGACGGAGCGCCAGCGGCTCCAGTACCTGGTAAGCGTCCCGGGGCCTGGCAGAGCCTGCCGGTGTCGGGGGGAGGGGGACGGGGGTGCTGGGGAGGAGCACGTTGCTCCTGACGTGGGAGCGGCCCGCAGCAGCCGCAGGACATACGGTATGAGCTCCCCCCACACACACCTTCCGATCGCACATCCTGCTCCGCGTGTGACGGCGCTCGCCGCCTCTGTGCATTTACCACTGCGGCTGCTTTTCTCCCATCTGCGGCCAAACGCATGCTCTGTTCCTCCTTTTTTTTTCCCCGCCCCCAGAGGACTAAATCTTTATAAAGCGTGATCACACTGAAATAAGTAACATCGCTGAGTCATTGGAAACTAGTTTTTTTTTGTTGTTGTTGTTTGTTTTTAAAAAGTAGAAAGCACTCGGATGCTTTTGATGGAAACTCTCAGAAACCCCTGTGTCATTGTCTAAACAGGGAGGACATTTGGACGGTCTCCAGCGTGCGTGACCTAGAGGTTCACTATCAGGAAGGGATTGCCCCTCTCCCTGTGCCGGGCTCGGGCTGGCTTTTGGTCGGGATGGTGGCAGTTGGGATGCAGCCACTCAAGGCATTCCCTCAGGTGCAGGAGTTCCCCGAGGGGAGGTAAAGGGTGTCCCTGCACCGCTGGCCTCTGGGGGACCGGAGAGCATCGCTCTGCTTCCCTCACGGGGCGGTGTGCGCCACAGGAAGCGCGGGGTTGAGGCGCGCAGACCGTCTTCCTTGGCCTGCCGCTCACCTGAATTTAAGCGGAGGGGCTCGGCCCGGGTCCCGTGGTGAGAGGACGGCAGCCCGAGAGCCTGCTGCCTCCTGCTCACGCCAGGCCCCGGTGTGAGTCTCCAGGATCCTTTGGGACAGATGCAGTGTCAGAAAATGTTTCTGCCCTGAAAATAAATTCTCCGCGTAGATCGCTCTCTTTGGGGTGAGACGATGAGAAGGCTGGAGAAGAGGGGCCTGTTTGGTTTTTCAGAGCTTGAGAAGCTTCGCTTCACTCGGAGATTTGAGTTTTCTGGAAAACAGAACAGACCTACTTCCCCTTCAAATGACAGAGGCAGGGGCAGGGGTAGGGGCAGGGCCAGGGGCAGGGTGAGCATCTCAGGCCAGTGGCTTCGCTCTCCCCCTAGATTACGTTAGGTGGGGCGTCGTTGGGGACTCGCTGTGCAGAGTTATGTGGGTGAAGCACTTCCTTGGCAGCTGGCCTTCTTTTTGGAGAACATGACCCTCTACACTTAGACAAGAATTGACCCAGGCTCCTCAAAAGGGACATGGTTCGTGTCTCGGCATTTCAGCAGGTGTGTGAATGGCCAGGATTTGATTACTTCGTTCGGTTGACAGTTTCCCTCAGTCTTCTCTTCTGTCCTTTTCTTTGTTTTACTCGGTAAGTAAGCCCTGTTGCTTTGGGTAGCTGCCTGGTACATAACTCGGCTGGCACCCAGCACCGGCGTGGAGACATTTCTTCCCTCTCTACCGGCGATGGCTTTCTAACCTTCCAGTGGTTTCCAAGCAGACGCACTGCCCCCAGGTTTGGGGGTGGGGGCTCAAGCTGCCTTCACACCAGTCCAGAGGAGGCCCTGACCACACAGCACTTTCCCCTCCACCTCCCCCCGAGGCCTGTCTCAGCAGCACCCGAGCCTCCCACGCCTTGATGGCAATGCATCCCCTCCTTGCCCCTGAGTGGAAAGTTCCTGTTTTCCTGCTAGAAGCAATGGGTAATAATCCCAGGTTAACTTCTTAACTTTTGAAATAACTTCACATTTTCATGTTACAAGAATGATGAAAAAAAACAAAAACAAACTCAAAACGTTGACTTTTGAGGAGGGACCGGAAGGCTGACATGTTTCGGATTCCTGAGTGTCAGCCGACTATTTGGGATGGCTTCAGCTCTCAGCTTTGTCACGCAACAAGGCTGTGGTTTCAGCAAGGCCCTTTCCCAAGCCCAGCTTCGCCGTCTGCAACGGGCACAGAAAACCTCAGGAGCAGGTGTACGGGGTACATGAAAGCACACAGGCAGATTCTTTTGTGGTCCCCAGTCCTCATTTGGTATTATTTGAGGCATTCGGGTCTTGATACTTCAAATCCTACTGGCCCACAAACCACAGTAATATTTTCCTCCTCCTTTTTACTTAGTAATCACTCACGATGTTCCTAAGAGTAATGGGTGTTTTGGTGTCGCTCTTGAACAATTAATGTGGACATTATTAGTTCCCAGACCTGAGCCTAATGTCTGAATTTCTCAAAGGGAAGCATCTGCCCCCCCTTCTCTTTAATCCTTGCTCCTAAACCAGGTCGGTTTCCCTTTGAACCTCTTCTCTCCTGACAACAGCAGTGTGAGTGACGAGGCTATGAAATATCCTGGTTGTCTTCTGTAGGAGTCTAAGAATGTATGCTTTGAAATGAGCAAATCCAGTGGTACTAGTCACGTGACTGACAATGCAAATCTTTGTGACATATTTGAATTAGGGGATTTATAGCATACAATAACCTTGTGGTGAAATCTTTACAGTATTGAGAGAATTAGAATTAGAATTTGAAAATGATATCAGCGTGACCTGGACTTCTCTCCGCCCAGCTCCGGCTGGGCTGTGTGACCTCAAGTCCCCCCCCTCGGGATCCTGCATCTCCTTTTCTCCTCAGTGGGATCATGGGATACTTCCCATGAGATAGTCATCCTATGTTCTGAAATTGGTAGGAGAAGTAATCCCATGGTAACATAAAATACACACCCGGCGTCCTTGGGTTACGTCGGACTTGATGTACGTTGTTTTGTGGTTACATCACCATCTCACATTTATTTATTAAAAACAAAACAAAACAAAAAAAAAAAAAACAACAAAACAAAGTTCTGTCATTTCAATGGACATACATACGTGCTATATGTTTTTTATTTTTTATTTACCACAAGTAACGGTCAGGAATTGTTACCTTTCTTTTACATTTTTTCTACTGTGTCACTTCATTACTGCTGTGTGTGCTCCATGTGAGTGACGTAGGTGCTTATGTAGGTGGGTTCCGACTTACGGCAAAAATCACATTACATCGCAGGTAGGAATGGATCTCTGGCGTAACCCGAGGACCTACTGTACATATCTTATATTTTGAGTGCACCGAATTTTACCCGATTCATTTTTTTTTTTTAAACATTTTTCTGGAACTAATTGTGAAGCGGTTTAGTATAAGGATAGCTGTCTCCTTTACCCGATTTAAACAAATGAGTACATAGCTGGGGAGTTAACAGTGTCGGTCAAATTAAATTTTATTTTTATGAGGTGTGAAGAAACACGATAGAATTATTAAAACTTCCAAGTCCTTAGAGTAGGGGTGTCGAACTCAATCAGAGAAGGGGCCAAAATCTAAAATCCAGCCTAAATCGCGGGCCGAATGGTTTACTGAACAGTCATAAACTGTCATTGTGATGGAAACGCAGCGGAGTGCAGTGATGACAGCGCGGTGCGGGCCACATTGCAAGGCCTGGCGGGACGGATTTGGCCCGCGGGCCTTGTGTTTGACACATGTGCCTTAGAGGCTTGGTGTGGGCAGCTGTCTGCAGCCCCAGGGCTGATTGACGAGTAGAAAAGGTTCATGATTTTCTTGGACGGAGGGAGGGAGGGCTGGGAACCTCTGGTACTTGGACCGTTTGGGTCCGTGTGCAGAGGAACAGCCTTGGTATGCGCGGTGTGGATTTGGGGGATTATGGGGCTAGAAGCAGATTATGGGATGATGGATGAACTGAATAGTGGATATGGGTAGCAACTGAATGATTCTGTTCTACCCATATCCACTATTTGGTTCATTGTGTTTGGTCTCCCATGCCAACCTCCAGGGCCCTTCCTGCACCTCCCAGTGTCACGTGAACTCTGCTCCGTGGGTTCCTGGGCTGGCGATTAATCAGGCAGGCTGTGGGTGTGACATGTTCACACAGCGTGGCAGGTGCGTGATGAAGAGGCCGGGCCGACGTCTGCCCCCGCAGCTGGGGAGGGCTGATGGTCCCAGAGTCATGAATAAGCCTTGCTCTTCTGCGGGGCTTTATTTTCATTAATGTCTCCCGGGGGGTTGGAACGAAATACTAAGGGGTCCGGCAAACTGCACAGAACGTGTGGGTAGAGCCAAGGCCTGGAGAGGCGGGAACGCGGTCTGCGGACTGAAAGGTCCCAGGTTCGATTCCGGTCAAGGGCATGTACATTGGTTGTGGACATATCCGCGGTAGGGGGTGTGCAAGAGGCAGCTGATCAATGATTCTCTCTCATCGATGTTTCTAACTAACTCTCTCCCTTCCTCTCTCTACAAAATCAATAAAATATATTTTTTTTAAAAAAGAAAAAGAAAAGAAAAGTTGGGCCCATACAGTCAGAGCCATCTGTCCACAAGGTCCCTTAAGAATTGCCTGGTGTAAAGAAGCGAGGTGATATCGTGCCCCTATAAATAAGGTCAAGTTCATCTGCTTTGGGAGGCAGGTGGGATTCACTGATGCTTTTCAGGCAGACACTTACCTGGCTGTCACATCTTTTCTGAGCCTCAGTTGCTTCCTCTGTGACACAAGGTAACTGCAGGACCCTCACAGGATGGTGTGAGGATTAGTGGGTTAATATTGCAATATGTGTAATGTGCTTACAACAGTGAATATACCAGAGACCACGTAAAACCTCTTCATTTTCAAGTCTAATTATGCAGGAAGGACTTTTTCATGGCCACCCTGCTGTTGGGACCAGTCTGTGGCCTTTTGTTTAATGTCTGAGTTCCATCTGCATATGCAGAGAGATATCCCAGATATGCGGGCATATCCTTTTTTGCTGACATGAGTCGTTTCTTCAAATGAATGTCCTTCCTCCGGTTTTTAGGAAGAAAAAGCTTTAGGTAAATGAATATGAAAACCTCATCTATTTTGTGGGAATGAATAGTTTTTGCCCCTTATTCTGTGCATTAAACTGTGTAGGGTTGACAGATGTAGGCAATTTTGTGTAACATGTCCATTTGAATACCATTTTCCATGGGGGATTCTTTTATC